CCCGGGCTGCAAGGCCAGGGCCGTCCTCCTGAAGCACGAGGGCGGATAGAGAGACGGGCTGCGACGTGGAGGGTCCCGCGCGCCTCTGACGAGCTGGTGCTAACCCGGGAGTCGAGGTGCCATTGGCTATCCGGGAGGAGGGGAATCCCGCTGAAAGGAGACTCAAAGGCTCCCTTGCCGGGAAGGAGACAAAGAAAGCGGCTTATTTACAAGGTCCGAAAATATCTGTCACATGTGGCTGGGAGGGATCGAGAGAAAGGAAGCGCGTGTGTGAGGAGCGGAAAAGACATATACAAGCATGGGGAAGACATTGAAGAATCCCAGAATCTCGGGAGCGGCGGCAGCACAAAGGACAGGTAAAACTCCCCCCGTGTGGACGCTTGGGTTTGTGGATCTTCTAGACACCTGGCTACGGTGCATGGCGCAGTTGCTTGGGCGTTTGTGGCTTAGCTATTGCAATTTAAAATTTTTAAATTGTATTTGCATGCTTTTTGTGAATGATTAATGACTAACGCACCCTTGCCTATTTGCCCTGCTCTAGGGTGAGTGGGGTAGGAGGGGATGGAGTTTTCAGAGTCGTTTTTGCTTCGCTGCTTTTTAAACGTCTCCCCCTTTTTACCACTTGGGGCCATTCTCAGTATCATCCTAATTTGTTTCTAGGAAGTCAGCATTTTACAAGTTGGTATAGATGGGATTTCAGAATTTACCTTTGCCCTTTTTGAGGCAGAAAGCCTGGAACGGTGTAAGCATTTCAATGCTCTGAGTTGCTTGTTAGAGCACAGTTTCATCTTTATGGGCATTATAATAAACAGTTAAAGCTTTGCTTATTTGGTTTGGACTGGCTGTTAAATCATTTTCCAAAGGTTCTCTATAAACCCCGAACCACACGTGCTTTCTGTGGAGACTTCATGGCAGTGTGTGACCCTTTTTTAAAGTAGTAGGTGTAAAAGGAAGACGTCTGTCCATGGGGAGGGTTATTTAGCAAACAACCGAAGTAGTGTCTTAATAGGTTGGTACATGCAACCCAGCTGTTTATCTGAGAGTGGCACCAAGCCGCATTTTGTGGGAGAACTTGGCAGATTAATCTCATAATTTGAAGAAGATACGTTGAAAATTCTCAGGTTTAATGTAATCACCGTTTGTCTGAAATCCAAAAATTTAAATATACCTCTCTGACCCTTCTTTATTATTCCTGTAAGGTAAAACTTAGGTGTTGTACAAGTTTATGGTGTTATTGTAGTTATGTTAGTGATCTAAGGGCCCACAATGTTTTCCTGAAAAAAGGGTGTGTATATGATATTTAATATTACAGGATCTGAGATTGGTAGTAAGCCTACTCAGGAGGTTTATAACAAAGCAGATACTCCTTGATAGTGTAAGAATACTCTTGTATTGAAAAACTGCCTTCTGGAACTAGATAGCGCTATACAGTATGTTCAGTACATAAGTAAATAACCCAGACTAAAGAAAAAAAGTGACTGTACACAATTTTTTTTTAAATGACAACTTTCTTTAGGCATTTTCTTTTTTTAATATATTTTATTGATTTTTTACAGAGAGGAAGAGAGGGACAGAGAGTTAGAAACATCGATGAGAGAGAAACATGGATCAGCTGCTTCCTGCACACTCCCTACTGGGTATGTGCCTGCAACCAAGGTACATGCCCTTGACCGGAATGGAACCTGGGACCCTTGAGTCTGCAGGCCGACGCTCTATCCACTGAGCCAAACCGGTCAGGGCCACAATTATTTTAGAAAGACAAAGAGCAGTGTTTTCAGGACATTTGCCCAAACGTTACCAGGTTCTCTCTTTAAAAAACAAAAAATTATTTTTATTGAGTTCAGAGAGGAAGGGAGAGGGAGACATCAATGATGAATCACCCATGGGCCGCCTCCTGCACGCCCCCTACTGGGGATCGAGCCCTCAGCTCGGGCATGTGCCCTGACTCGGAATGAAACCCTGACCTCTTGGTTCATGGTTCCACAATGGCTGGGCGGATATTACCAGTTCTCTTTAAAAGCTGTATTATGAGCATCTCCTGTAATCCAAACATGGTTGCTTAAATGAATTAAAATCTGCATTACCGAAAGACTTGCTTAAGACATAGCCACTTGATAAATAAATGCGGTATGATATCTATCTAGTATAATTAAGTAGATATGGCATCTATCAAATCAATCTTTCATCCCTTTATGAACTGTTGGTTATTTTCAAGTTTTTTCTCCATAACAATGCTGCAATGATTACCTTTTTTGCTATTATAAACAATGCTTTATATGCTCATGATAATATTTCTGTAGAATTGATTCCCTATGAGAATGCTGGATAATAATACTGTTAACTGGCCCTCAGATGATTGTAGCTTTTATATTCACTCAAATGGTGTGTTTTTATCTTTCTGCTAGTCAGCACTGGATGGTAACTTTATTTCTTTAATATCTTACTAATTTTCTAGTAATTGAAAATAGTATTTTAATTTAATTTTTATCTTCCTTGGGTAACAAGAAAGTTAAACATTTTTGGCCAGGTCATATCCTTTGCTCGTTTATTTGGGGGGCAGGGGGGCGAGGGGATTCTGAACTCTTCTTTGACCTATATATCTGTTACCACACTGTTTTAATTATTATAACTTTATAACATATTTTGATACTTTCTTTTGAAAAAAAGTTTTGGGCGCTTCTTTTGCATATTTCTTCCAGATGAAATTTAGAATCATCTTTTCAAGTTCTATAGAAAATCTTGTTGGGATATTGAATTGCATTGAATTCATAGATTAATTTGAGAAGAGACATCCTTTGAGTTTTTCCTTCTAAGAGAATAGGTATGTCTCCTTGTTTCTTATATTACAATTTTTGTTGTGAAATATACAATTATATGTGTACTCAGATTAATGGAACACTGCAAGTACCTTAGAAGCCTTTAGCATGTGCCTCTCCCTAGAAGCAAAGTATCCCTGCCCCATCACCATGGTCATTCTGAATTTTGTGTTAATTACTCCATTGCCTTCCTTTATAGTTTTATGGTATTGTTTACTTTTATCTGTTTTTCAACTTTATTTAAATAGAACCATACTGTATATTCTGTAAATTACTTTTGTTAAACATTAAACATGTGCCCATAGTTCAGTAATTCAGAAACTTTTTGGGCTCAGGCCTCCTTTACACTTTTAAAAATTATTGAGGACCCCAAAGACCTGTTGTTTCTGTGGATTATATCATATTAGACATTAAAACTAGCCAGTTTTAAGTGAATCTAGCATCTTTTGGTATATTTACACCAATAATAAAAATAAATCCATTACACCTTAACATAATAACATTTTAATGAAAAATAACTATTTTCCAAAACAAAAAATATTAGTGACAAGAGTGGCTTTGTTTCACATTTTTGCAAATATCTTTAATAACTAGTCTCTTCTGCTTCTGCATTCAATCTGTTGCAGCATATTGTTTTGGTTAAAGTATATGAAGTTGGTTGCAAATATCTTTTCTCTATGGTGGTTTTTTTCTTATGAGAAGTTCTGGATTTAAAATTTTTTTTATTTCATGTCTGTATATTTGGAATTATTGAAATTGTTACTTGTGTGTAGTTTGGAATATAAATATAATTGAAATTTTTCTCTTGTAGCTAATCAGTTGTAGTAGAATTCAATTACCATTGAATTCATTTAGGTCTGAAGTTTTGCTAGCAGCAGATTTTGACTAGTGATGATGTAATGTCTTTAATGGTTACAGTATGACTCATTTTTTATTTTAAATATATTTTATTGATTTTTTTTACAGAGAGGAAGGGAGAGGGATAGAAAGTTAGAAACATCAATGGGAGGGAAACATCAATCAGCTGCCTCCTGCACACTCCCTACTGGGTATGTGCCCACAACCAAGGTACAGGCTCTGACCAGAATCGGACCTGGGAGTGACCCTTGAGTCCGCAGGCAGACACTCTATCCACTGAGCCAAACTGGTTAAGGCTTTTTTTTTTTTTTAATTTTGTCAGTCGTCGTAAGTTAGATTTTTCTAGGACTCTGTCCATATTGTCTAAATTTTTAGTATTTATTGGCACAGAGTTGTTAAAAGTGCCCTCTTACTATCAATGTCTGAAGCTTGTGTAATTATATCTCCTTTTTTATTTCTAATATTGCATATTTTTGTTCCGGTTTCCCCTCCCCCCTTTCTGTTAATTCATTTTGCCTGTAGTTTATCAGTTAGAATTATCTTCTCATTGAATTTTTTTTTTTGGCTTTGTGATTATCTCTATCAAATATTCTTTTTTTGTGTTATTAAAAAAATGAAAAAATAAAACACATATACTAAAGCCTCTTTCTAAGGCTCCTTTCAGTTCTGACACTGTGACTCTACAAACTGCCTTACTGGAGCTTGGGATTTACGAGGCATTGGACACTGCACTAGATAACTAATCAAATTCCCTTTTATTTGTTGCCATGAAGAGGCATTTACCCTAGTATTTATTAGCAAGGAAGCATAAAAGTTAATATAACTTCTGTGAAAATTTGAAACTTAAAATACAGTAAAACTTCGATATAACGGACTAATTTGGGCAAGGGGTGTCCATTAAAGCCAAAAATCATCACCAATAAAAGAGAAAGATGCAAATTGCCCATACCTTTGTGACGCATACCAGCCAACCAGGAGTGAATATGCAAATTAACCCAACAAAAAAATGGTGGGTTAATTTGCATATGCAGGCGCTGAGCTGCAGGGGGAAGGACGCTTGTGTTGTTACCATGGCGACAAACACAGGCGTTCCATACTGCCCCAGCCACTTCAGGCCTCTGGGCAGCATGGGAAGGTGGAAAGGCAGCTCCTGCCAGAGCAAAGGTGGTGCTGGCAGCCAGGGGAAGGAAGGCCTATTCTTGCACGAATCTTCGTGAATCAGGCCTCTAGTTACATAATAAAGTAGTTTTTCTGAATGCATATGGTAAAAAATTGACAAATTAGATGTAGACAAGTTTATGTAATTAAAATTATGTGGAAAAGTTTAATTTCATCAAAAAGTTTTCTATATGTATTCTGTAATTTTAAATTTATACTGTGTGTGTCTAGTTAAATGTGTGCATTCACCGTCATTAAGAGTAAACAAATGCACATAGCTGGGGTGTGGCTTAGCACACATTGGAATGCCAGGCCAGCAGGATTTAAAACTGCTGCAGATGCCTGGCTGGCTCAGTGGTTGAGTGTTGACCTATGAACCAGGAGGTCACGTGGGGGGCATGCAGGAAGCAGGCAATTAGTGATTTTCTCTCATCATTGATGTTTCTGTTCCTCTCCCTCTCTGAAATCAGTTTTAAAAAACTGCTGCAGAAAGTCACACAGTGAGACAGCAGACACAATTATTT